TAGAACAGACCTGTGCACGTGCAAAAGATAGACCTCATAACGGACTTTCTTTTGTTTAAACAGGTCTTTCCGAAAAAGATAGACCTGTCACAAACAATAGAGGAGGTGTGTAATGATAGAAGACTATTGAATTAATCGAACGGTAAAACAGATCATATTACTGTGACGTACATGTGTACATGTTTAAAAGTCGAAGTTCGAACACGATAACGTTTACATTATCAGCTATAGGCCTGTCAAGGCTGTCATTATAGTTTATCTTTTGCATTGATGTTGCAGTATTGGCTTTATTATACGTTTTATTTATTTTTTCTTATTTTACTATTGTGATAATGTTTATCCTAAATTACGCGACATTTAAATAAATGATTAGATACACTAAAGAGGACAGTTTGAAGTGAAATAGATTGGACGAAAATGAATTTATCATATTAGGAACTATTATTGTAAAATAGATAAACGCTTTTAACAAAAACAAGTCATTTAAATGTCAAGTTCATATCTATTTTTTTTTCAACATGTCCGTTTCGTCACAAGTGCTGTTTTAATCATGTATGACATAGATAACAAATGTATGACAACTTAACCTAAGTTCAATCATTTGACCCTGACGGTTAAGGTCATTTAAAGCTCAAGGTAATTGTCAGTTAAACCTTTGAGAAGGTCTTGTCAAAAAGGTTGTTTTGTCAAGGTATTGATTAATTACTAAGTTACAGCCACTTATAGCAATAGTCAGTGAACATTCAATAATTTGAACTTTAAGGTCAAAGTCATACATAAATGAAGGTCAGTTTGCGTTTGATAAACATGAAGGTCCTGACCTTAAGGATGTTTTGAGTACCATTTATAAATAACAAAGTTATAGCCAGTTATATAAAACAGAATTTCTTTAGTTTGACATTGACGGTCAAACCATATGATTTATGTAGTTCATAATGTTTGAACAACCCCAAAGTCACCAAAATACCAACTGCTACGAGCATCCCATCAGGCGTTACATGTATTTGAAAATTCACGTGTTTTTAGGGGTTTTATTATGTTAAAAAGGTCAACTTATTATACTTAGAACACGGTGTTATTCTATACCGGCGCCAGTGATGACAGATCACTGCAGTGGGGGCAGATCCTGAAATTTACCGCTCGGTACAGGTAGGTTATAAATTTGGTTGGTATTATTATATTGTATATATCTAAACTTAAAGGGACTCCACTGAGGTTTGAAAACCTAAAAACATAACATTTGAATTTCTTACATAAATGAGCTGGGGCACTTTAAACAGAAATATATGCAAAGATAGATAAGAAAAATACTTTGAAATAAATTGAAAATCGTATGTTTATGCCTTTCTTAGCCCGATTTGAATGAAAAGCGTTTAAACGCTTTTCATTTTGGGTCATTTTTTTACAATTTGAATAATTATTCTGGAAAAACGAAGGGCGCGAATGATCTGAAATTTTGCACAATGATTAGAGGTCTAAACCTACAACAAATGGTGCATTTATCTGGAAAAAATATTATTAGTCCCATCATGTCAAAAAACCTCACTGGAGTCCCTTTAAGATACATATGGTATTGTATGCATGTAACTGACAGACACAACATATCAAACACATTGCTATGAAACTATTGTCCATTGACTGGAATTACTACATGTATTAAGTAATTTTGGACTCATTTTTCATGTATTTAGACTATTTTGAGCAGGTCAAAGGTGACAGCTTCGGATAAATCCGTGAAAATGTCTGTTTTTTGTTCAGCATTTTTTCCTCGACCGGACCAGATTGAACGTCTGTAAAACTTTCAAGAAAAAACTCACGGGAAAGATATTTGGCTTGCGTGGCCCCAATGGATGAACGTCTATACTAGTAACACAAAATCCTGTCATTTAGTAAAAACTTGAGATATTTTGAACAAAAAAACCCAGACATTTTCACGGATTTTTCCGAAGCTGTCATTTTTAACCTGCTCAAAATAGTCTAAATACAGTTACAAGTTATGGATTACAGTAAGGATTTTTGCCGTTGTTTTTAATTTGTGCATTCAAAATAGCAATTAACACCACTTTAACGAAAAAAGAAGAACTCAAAGAAATGTTGATTTTTATTTTATTCAAAGTTTTACAGGATACAGTTTTCTTGTAAAATGTTCATGTTATTCTTTATTAACTAATTAATTTATTCCCAAGAAACAGTATAGTTTGCAGTAACTTGTGTATCCGACAAGACTCTTACTGCCATCTTAAGCTTTTAAATAGATAAAGAAAGAATGTATACTGTACCTGTATCGCTGCTTCAATCTGGCCGAAGTCCAATGGTTGTCTTCTTTTCAAACCTAATCTCTTTAAGTGTCCTTTCAGTTGACGAAAACTGAAACAAAATGTCGCAATATCTGTACTGAAAATACATTTTATTTTTATATCACGAATTTTTTTTTTTAATTTGCCACAAGACATGATCGTTGAATATGTACGCAGAAGACAAACAAAGGCCTATGTGGGTCTCGGATGAAGCCGGATAAATGTAACGTGACGATGACTTTAAACTTTGTTATCATTAATTGAATATAAGTATTGAAAATGTATTGTTTATGCATTTTGATCAATGTATCATGAAAATCATGAATAACCTCAGGCGGTAGCTGTTTGTTTGTTTTTTTCTTTTTTCATTTCTCATGATAATTATTTATTTTCCTCTTACAAATACCTTAAAAATAATATCTTGTCATGTGTTAAAATTAACAAATATTCACCACTGTTATGTATACTCATGTATTATATTGTATGTAACTCACTAACTTGAGTTAATGTTCTGTACTTTTCTGATAATGTACTACATTTATGTACGAATCAAAGTAAAATAACGTTTTCTTCTGTTCTCTTATGTTATTTAATTGATTACAGAGGCAAATCTGAGAATTCAATCATAATCTATATCAATAAAATCTGAAAGTAATTGTAATTAAGTAAATTACTGATCAATCCCCAGGTCTGGCACTGGAACCTATGCTCGGATTATAGCGCCGAATTTACAATTTTTGCAGTAATAGTTAATATTCCATATAGTAATATAATATAATATTCTTTGGCTTTAAATTCCCAATCGCGGACCAGGTCAAGGGCAAACATTTCTCACTTTAAGACATACACATTCTAATAGTCTCGGGAAATAGAATTATCTTATCTATATGTATGAGCTCTTGATGCATCATTTTCTGGCTCAGTATTTTCTTTAATTTTCCTTTTATTTTCATTTTGTTTTATAATTTTATTTTCTAATACCTGAACGTATTTTGATTTTTCATTCTTCCATATTCAAGCAAGAATAATTGAAAAAAAAACACATGACAGCTATACCAAAAGACAATTTTGTACCGTTCTAAAGATTTTGTATGTTGTAATTGAGGTTGTACACCGTGGTGGTTGTGGTGATAGTTTTCACTTCCGATCATGACAGTAAGCCACATTGAATTCACAAGAACACAGTTCAACCACCGCATTTTCCTGGGCAGGCTGTCAAGCAGTTTACCAGTACTAGTTGCCTTCACTTTCGCAAGGAACTGAAACTTCTGCAGAGCAGAGACCAGTGTCAATGACCGTAGAAAGGATTTCATGATCAATCACAACGAAAGTGGCCTGCACCCGTCGGGGGAATCCAACCCGATCGCCCGATTCACAGTCCAACGCTGTACCTGTTGAGCTAACACCACACTTCAGTGAAATTATATATATTTATATAATAATGCTTTAATATAAAACAATTTTCAAACATCGAGAATATGTAAAATATGTACTGCAAATATTTATACATATTATATGTAATCATTAAAATATATGCATTCATTTCTTATTGAAAAATTTGACTTAGACTTTACAGAAAATAAAATTTTATTACCTCCCTTTATTTACATGAAATGTTAAATTCGGTAACATCTTTACAAATAATGCTTTTTGGAACTTATCTTAACTTGAGCATCATATTTATGATATAAAACCTTAAAAAATTTGTGTTATAGATATCTAGACAAGATGAATAAATCACAGTGCATAAAGGTTTTATAATGATTGAATCTTAATACACAACTCTTATTAAATAGTCTGTGCTGAGATCAAATCCCGTTTTAAGCCTCACGATATTTAAAATGTCTCGATACGTATAGCCTCTCACATAATACATAGTTATGCATTTATCCATTGTTGATAAAGATATACAATGCGCATGTCCACCGGAAGGCGATGGCACGATGGTGAAAACTCGATGGTACGATGGTGAAAACGCGATGGTACGATGGTGAAATCGCGATGGTACGATGGTGAAATCGCGATGGTACGATGGTGAAATCGCGATGGCACGATGGTGAAAGCGCGATGGCACGATGGTGAAAACACGATAGCGCGATGGTGCGATGGTACGATGGTGAAAACGCGATGGTACGATGGTGAAATCACGATGGTACGTAGGTGAAAACGCGATGTCACATCGCGTTTTCACCATCGTACTATCGCGCCATCGCGATTTCACCATCGTACCATCGTGATTACACCATCGTACCATCGTGTTTTCACCATCGTACCATCATGCCATCGCGTTTTCACCATCGTACCATCGTGCATCGCGGGTACAGAATAAATAAAATGTCACGATTGTCCAAACGTGTCCAAACGGAACACCGTAAATACGCCTTTAGCCCTATTCAGAAAGTATTTGCTTTTCTTGGTCAATTTTGGAAAACTTTTAGTGATTATACATGCTAATAGTTTAGAGGTTTGTGTTTTTTCTGTGAGCTAGAGCTTTATTCATTATATTTAACGCACCAATGATCATCTGAACTATTGTTATGTTTGTTAGTAATGAAATGTATAGATTTACACCGCTTTTAACAGGTATGTTTAAGTACCGTTACTCTGCATTACATTTTTTAAATATCTCTCATTATGATATGCAATAGTGCTTGCCCGGAAAACGACTTTGAAAGTGTTGAACACATTTAACTGTGATAAAGATAAATGTGGAAGTAAAATGTGCATAACCTCCTGATTTGTTTAATTATCTTCCTTTATTATACGTATATTTCGCTTGGTAAATGTTTAGCTTTTATAGCATTAACTCATTAACCGATGTGTTTCATATTGGAAGGACTTAACTACGGTAAGTGCAGTTATGGTCTCAAGGTCACTAGTACTGTGAACATAAAAATCTTTTTTATTGACTGATGGTTTTCATAGTTTGCAGGTAGATACAGGGGTGATTAAATGTAGGGGCACTAATGTCAATGTAACAATTGCTAAAATAAATATCTATGTTTTTACTTAAACCGCATTAATTTTATTTATTAACTGATGGCCATCATGTCTTTCATATTTTGAAAATAACTTGGATGAGACCATCAATTTGGAAAGAGAATGCGGTCACGTAGGTCAAGGTCGCGTCATAATCAAGTGTGATTGCGCCGACGTACAATGTAGATGTAGATGTAGAAGGTCAGGTTTGCGAGACTTATGTTCCTTATTTTTGCTTTTGCAGTTACAATTTATTGACTGAGACTGATGTAATTTACAAACTGCATAATACATGAGGTGTTCCTGTATCTTATGGGGTAATTTGTGCTTAAACAGATGGTTTTTTCTCTCCTATTTTGCTCTGCATTTATTGAATAAAGTGCATTGGAGCATTATTTCTGAAAGCTATATTTAAGGAGTTATGCCCCTTTTTTGCCAAAATTGATTATCATTAGTTGAATAATTTTAAAAAAACTATTAAGGCTATCAATTTGTAATACTTTATTATCATGACGATGCGAATTTGTAAGATAATTGATATAAGCTTGATTGCAATAGTTTTAGAAGTTATGCCCCTTTTCATAGGAACTCGAGAACGGGACCGCAGATTGCGGCTCATATTTTCGATCGTGTAACGGTTTTAAAGAACGTTTCTGCTACATCTGAATATCTTAAAGTATTATTCGAGCATATGGCCTCAAACAATATATTATCACTTGAACCCAATCTGTTACTTTTAAAACTGGTCAAATTTTACGGTAATATAAAAAAAGACAAGGACAATCTCCTACGCAGTGATCTCCCCTTATCAGTACAGATATCTCTGCCATCACAAACATTGAAATATCAATATTTGGATATTTATATTTTTAGCTTTTTAATTAATTTTTCATTATTTTGTATACTTTTGATAATTTTTTGATCAAATATAACGGACGTAGGTACAAAAAGTTAAAGATAAAACAGAAAGAGAAAAATGACGTTAGATTTTCTATGTAACGGTCGATATTTACATTTGAATTTCGACGTTACGTCATGTGACTTTAATCATCATGTGACGTTTGTGAAGGCAGTGATTACAATTTTGCCAAGGGAAGTTATCAGTGTGAGGAGTTTGAGACAAGGAGTGACATCCGCCATTTGCCGCAACGTTCGGCATGAGTTTTCCCCCTTTGGCTACACTTGATTACTATTTTTTCAGAATTTTGTTCCCGTTATCGTTGTCAACTATCAGGTATCGTAACGGTTTAATGTTTACACATGTTGACATGCACAAGTGTTTGACAGTCGGCATTATAACGGGCGTATTCGTGATATGATTTGTTTACATGGAGAAAACAGACACTTTAGTAATCTGGTCTACTAGATTTTGCCTAACTGAAAAAAAAAGGAATATTAAAACATGATCCATAGATAATTATTCAAGGCACTCATCTGGTATTCCTTGTTGGGAAATGTGAAAGTTTCCCATGTATTGAGTGACATAAAGAGAGTACTAGACAAATTAAAATAAAAATTAAGCATATCAAGGGGGGGGGGGGTAACTTACGCCGAACGTTGCGGCAAATGGTGGATGTCACTCCTTTTCTTTTTTCAATATACCGTAAACTTGGCTGATTTTTAAATTTGCAGATTATATTAAATTGAGATAAGATATTTAAGACCATCCGCTCGTATAATATAAAAAGATATTCAAAGGTCGGACAAACAATATGTAAAGCTGGTACGGATTCGGATTTATGCGCCGCAATATGCGGTCCTGTTCCAGAGCGCCTATGCCCCTTTTAACGTTATATTTGATTATTGATATTGGTTTCCCGATGCAGACGAGATTTACACTATACGCGGTGCTTTTTTGAAGATATGTTATAAAAGAAATAAATCATCTGAACAGTGAACTGACGTTTAATGTCTAAGAAAGTCTTCTAATTGTGTATATTACATTGTACATGAGCATTATTCTGGTGTGATGGATGTGTTCTCATAACTTTTTTTATAATGGCTATTTACTTCATTTTAACCCAAATGAGAAAATCTCTCTCCAGCGAACTTTCCATTTAGGTTTCTTATGGAAATCTATATTTAATGTTGCTATGAGTGTGTCACAGCCTTTTTGGATGTACATTTCATTTAATTTTATGCCCCCACCCTTACGAATGAAAAAAAAAATAAAAATGTGGAGAGGCATATAGTTTTCTAAAGCGTCCAACCTATCGTCCGTCGATTCTTCCGTCCGTCCCGTCCGTTCTTTTGTCCGAAATTTTTCCAGTCCATAACTTTGTCATTAATTTTATGGACGATTATCAAAACAAATTGTATAAATGTAGCATATTATGGCAATGTGTCATTTGCAACATTAAGGTCTGACGCTCAAAGGTCAAGGACACACTCTGACTTCAAAGGCAATGTTTGATAAAAATGCACTGAACAAATATGTCATTGATGGATGGATTGAAAAAAAAATATATTATGCTTAAATGTGTTTGACATAATGACGACGTGCAGTGCGAGAGAATCAGGGCACTACCTCAAAGGTCTAAGTCCAAGGTCAGGTCAACAGTAAAAAAGATAACGGTTATACAATGTCAAAATATAACATTGGTAGTTGAACTGCCTTTGACATTGAGCTTCAAATGACTTGCCCGTCATTTTTGAAATTTTGGTTAAGTTGTCATAATTTCATCAATGTTCTTTTTAAGGATTTGTTTAACCCGTTTATTTGCTTGCTTTTAAAAAAAATAGACAGGACTGATTTTGAGACTTGAATAATCTATAAAATGCTAGAGGCATTTTGCAGTAAGTGGATTCTTGGTATATGTTACACATTTAGGACATTTGTGGATACAGGTGGACACCAAACTTATAAAAAAAATTTGACTTTGACCACTTAAATTGCCATTTAAAATGACAACTGAATTGGCGGCCAAATTTGTTTATCATAATGAATAATAGATCAAATAATATTTGGCGTGAGAATGTCTAATATTCTTGAAGCCTAATGGTCTTGTTTTATGACTGGAGACAATGGTCTGAAGACTTTAGAATACCGATATGCCATTAAGAAAATTCATAATTATTCACATCATAGTAATACAGCAGTAAATGTTACTGTTTACGGGTCATTAAATAATATCTGTATGTATCTGGATATGGCCTTATAATTGAGATTGAAATATAAACCTGTGGATGAGCACGCATTTTCAGCTGATAAATATGTACGTTTAGCGGGTATCTCTAGAACAGGCCTTATATACTCACAACTAAGCTGGAACAAATTCATTGAAGATAGGGTTGTTTGACAATAGTAAGAGAAGATGAATCAAAATTAAATACATCTTAGATGCAGACGTATTTCTTTCTTTTTTTTGGGGGGGGGGGGGGGGTGGTAATTGTAAGATCTTATCTGTAGATCCCTAGGAATGGCCTTTTTATTCAAATTAACCACTGGGGAAGCAATAACTCCATCTTTATTACAAAGCGATTGATGAGTATGAACCATTTGGGTTTGTGCCTAATTTTCAGACTGTAAAAACTTGTAAAAGCCAAATTGATATTACATTCATACCCGTAGACAATTGTACCAAATGTTTATCACCGAAAACATAAGTAATCAGATGTCTTCAAAAGCTTATATGACTTTGATTACATTTAACTTATTTTTTTCAGTTACAGCTCTGAAAACGTCAGTATTCATAATTATGTTTTGATAAACTTGGGTAGCCGGTTTCTAAAGTTCAAAATCTACTGCACTACTCAAGGCTCAAAGTACTAGCGATAACTTTGATCAACCTAGGCCAAAATCAAATGAGAACATGACATGATGCCCTCATAACATTATTGTTCTGCAATGGAGTCCAATAGTCTTTCAATAAAGAGACTCTCAATAAAAGGCTTAAAATTAAAAGGAATGCCTCCTTAGGTGTCTCCAAGCCAGTCAATCCTACTTTATGTAAAACCACTGGTTTAAATTCCCAAACCTGACTGCTTGGTTATTTTCATTTCTGATTGACTTTTATTCGTTTTCATCTTTAACCGCGCCTTTGGCACTTCCTTGGGCAGTATGAAATCAGAAAATAACATTCGATTTATCCAAGGACTAGCGTCTTATCTGACAAATACTGCTATATTAACACATCAACAAATCATTGGGTACTCAGTGTACGAGAGCGATATGAAATACATATGTCACCATATTGTGAGCTTTAGATTCATACAATACACACTGTACCATACAGTATACACTTTACTATCATATAATAAGTGTTAGATAACGAAATGTCAATTTACCTTAAATATTATAATTATGCTTTTGCGAAAAAGAAGTTAAACATATGACTTTTTTACTTGTCAATTTTCTTGAAAAGCCATTTTTCTATTGGGTGAATCATATAATTTGATCATTTTCACCCTTAGGAGTTATATAACTGTGCTCATACATTCCGACTATAATATATGGCAGCCTCGGTTTGAGTCCGCTTGCAGGCGGCTGTGGTAATAGATGATTTAAGTCTATCCATAAATCAGTTTGACGTAAACTGCACAAATAGAAAATACAAACTGTGTCCCTTGTCTTTACAGGTCTTAAGACGCAAGAACAGAAAACAGGCAAATGAAATAATCAGAATTATTTCTTCATTGGGAAAGTAACGCCAAAAGAAATCTAACAATTGGCAGAAAGATTCTCAGAAATATTACCGATACATAAACGGAAATATGGCAGAGGCAGGTAGTCGATCTCGAGCAGAAAGACAGGTAAGATCTAAAAAGTTGTAAGAGCCGACGCGTAATTCTCATCAGTCGTTACTTTTCGGCCCTTTCCGCCATACTTCGGATGAGCTGTCTTACAGGGTGAAATGAAGTATCTCCTAAAAAAATGCGTATTCATAAATAATGCATTTGCATTTAAGGTAATCTTGTCTTCTATTCATAAGGAAGTTGCATATGCATTTAAGAGAATGTGTTTTATTGATCTGAGATTGCATTAGCGGGGCATTACTTCTTTTTAGCATCGGTTATCACCTTCTGATTGAGCAAAATCGTTTTCTTATGTATTAAGAAGGGAACCCGGAACGGATCCAGAATTTTTTGCCATGTGGTGATTGAATTTGTTATAATAGATTTGAAATTTCTGAAGCATTCCACAGCTCAAAATTTAGTGTTCACGTGCACGTTCCTGTATTTTTCCAGAGCATATCAGACTAAAACGTTACTTAAATGACTTTCTTTCTTTCAATGTTCAGATGCATTTTCGGTTTCACATTTTAGAATGCACGTTTCTTAATTTCCCATTAAATGTAAGACATACAAGAGTGATACAATGTAAATATGAACCTTTCGGCATCCAATTTTAATGATACTGCATAATGAATTTTATAATCCCATAAAACATCCTGAACGATATAATTTTGAAAGGAATTTTGGGAAAAATTTTACATTTAAGGCACATCATGCTCAAGAATCGAAAATATTTTTTGTTCTTTGAAAATGACACATGATATTTTTAACCAGAAACAGGGATGATGTTTCTATCATATGTTTATATTTAATATTATTATATATATGTTTTTAAGAGCAAAAATGTCTCAAAATAAATTACTTCTTTTGCTTAAATTGCTTTGTCCCATTATTTCAGAATACGGTAAATGTTTAAATTTAAATCAGTATGGTAGCAAAGATTACTAGAAATAATTACTGTAGATATGATCATTTCCCAAGCAGAATTTTCAGCAAAAAGAAAACATATTGTTCATTATGAAAGAGCTCTTCCCAGACATTAAACAATAAAAAAGGATAATTGAAATAAAAAAAAAGATTTATTGCTCAGAGTGATAGGGTACAGTACATGTGATCCGCAAATATTATATCTACTTTAATTGTTGTTTGATTTACTAGGGTAGCACAGTTGATGAAATATTCAAATGTTCGATTTGCCAACATGAAATGGAAGATTCGTCAATGACTCTTTGTGGACATCGATATTGTACTAAATGCATCAAGGAGTGGATGAAGCGGAAACAGAATTGTCCGCAATGTAGACAACCAGTTACTCTAAGTTTCCTTATCGAGGACAAATCATTTAAGGAAATTAAAAGTAAGAATAGTTTGTTAAATAGAATAAACCGGAATAAAATTTAAGCAAACTTAAATATCAAAACTTATTAACATATAGTCTTAGAAGCTGATTAAACTTTTGTGATATCATGCTCTACTCCAATGGTAGGATACTACGTCACCGCGCACATTAATGCTACCAACGGACTGGGGTTTTTTTCTGTTGTTGACTCGAAGGCAAAATATCTTTTATTCTAAGAAATTATTATAATACCAAAGCATAATGTATCGCATCAAAGTTTGGCTTTAGTACTTGGTATAATTTTTTTAAAAAAAGTTTATTAACGAAAATGTTTTAAATGGATTCACAATGAATTACTGTGAAGTTCATGTGAAATGCATCCATGCAAAATATAAGCATTTGCAGGATTTACTTGAGAAAATATTTGGAACGATATATTATTTCCTTATGCTAAATAGTTTTCATATACAATGTATGTATAGAAATGTTTGGTATCATTTCTTTGTTAAATAAAATCTGTTTTGTCATTTTTAAGCAAACATTTACTTTTGTACAAAGTACGATTCCTGTTTTCGTCCGGTGTAAAAAAACTAGATTCTTGAATTATGTTCCTTCGTAATGAATCGTATTTTATAGGGAAGTATAAAGAGGTACAAGAACAATCAGAAAACAATCAACGAGGTAAGCAATCAGTAATTGTTAACATCTGTTGTGTTAGTAAATTTGAAAAAAAGACTAATTACAAAATACTTGTAAAATTAAAATATGTTTGAATTGAAATTATTGCTTAATGGTTAACTTTAAGTTTAGAAAAAAATACTGTATAATATAGTATATATTTTTTTCTAGAATTTCTTAAGTCTCATTGGCTGATTATAAACCGTATCACGGATTATTCAAATTAATATTAATTCAACGTTAAATGAAACAATCTCACTCGTATAACATATTTTTGTAGAAATTTCATCATCAAATTTAGCTGTTTTATTATAATATATTCAGAGCGTGTGTAATTTTATTGTTATTTTCGTTACATAGGACAAGGTTATGGAATGTCTGTTGAAGAGTTGGGCAACATTTTACAGAGTGTTATGCCACAGCGAGATCAAGACATGAGAAATCTAACTGACAACCTCATCTCCATGAAAGATCAAGAAATAAGTCGACTTGAACAAAATAAACGTGAACAGACTGCCACTATTAGCCGATTAAACAGTAAAATTCTTTTGTACATTAAACCGGTAACATGCTATAAGTAACGTTTGATATTAATAGAGGTAATATATATATACATCATATGTACACAGAAAAGCTTTAAGTTCTAGATATGTGAAAGCCCAGTGGCGGAGAATCCACTTCGTACCCACCAACGTAATTTGTAGACCGGCGATAATTGAAATAAAAAGATAGAAGTTAGACGTAAAGTCTCAATAACTTTTCAAATATTATTGCATAATTAGCATATTTATGCTTCTTATAATAATACTTATTAACCTAAATATATTTTGTACTTCTGCATGGGGATTTCCATATGATGTGCAAGCGTTGATTTTAAGGCCTTCGCGATGTATACTAGTAATCAATCTATATTCAAGTTTAAGAAATGTGAACAAATGAAACCCGCCTCTTATTGGAGGAAAATTAAGTGAACATATGATTTTATATTAGCTAATGCTTTTGTAAATTTCTCTGATAACAAATTTTGATGCATTAAAGATATTGCATAATGAAATGAACTCAATACTCCTTTGCACCATGTAATATTTGACACTGTCAAAGTGATATCAATTATGAACAATGTTATAGTGTATAAAATTATATCACTGCTGCCCAAAGTTAACAGAGTTGTTTGAAATTTGAAAAGAAATAATTCAAATATGTATGTAATACAAAGATTTTGCGAGACCTTTTTGGGCTCCGTTTATCGTTACATTCATATCGGCTAAGAAAAGAAAATAGTAAATTAGTTCATGTTTGTTTTAAAGCTATATATGAAATGTTCGATTTTTGTCGGGTAGATGATTCTCTAATGTTAGTTGGGCACATTTAATATAACATTGACTATTGCGCAATGGTCAATTAAACTAACTATGATCTGTGAAGTTATTTTTTAATGATAACTAATTTCATATGACAAATATGTACATTTTGCAGACGAAATTGAACGTGTAAAAGGTCAATTAGGTGACGAACTTCCCACTTTGACTGAAAGATCAACTCATCTACAAAATAAAGTGGACACACTTACGGAACAAAACCGACAATTTCAAGGTAAACTGTCATTTGAATCATTTATGATAATTGAATGAAATGTCTATGCTATAGTTTTCATATCTTTTAAAAAGGCTATTTTTTTACTTTTTCATTTGTTTCTTTACTTATAAATCAAAGTTCCTTTCAAATAATGAGATTCCATGAAACTTTGTATTGCGCCAATGATAAATGAGAAGCCTTACCAAAAGTTAAACTGAAATTTGATACACTTAATGACTTAACAGCAAAACAAAAACAAAAAACACACATACTGTCATTCAATAGCACTTAACTCTTAAAAACGAGATCGGTACACTTCAACTTATAACATCTTAATATTCCAAGGTCACGTTAAGTTATGTAAAATATGTTATTCAGTTCCCGTTTTATAAAATAAATAGAAAATACAATTACATTATATTAGAAAGAAATAAAAGAATGATCAATGAGGTATTATTTTTCATAAGGATTAGTTCGTAGATAATTCAAAGGTTCGTCATTTCTAATAAAGGCCCTTTTAACATCCAAGCTTAAGTTCAGGAAAAAGGCCATAACTCGTTAACCATACTGTAAAATTTCTTCAAGATTTGCATACATGTGTCCTTTAAGGTATATATCTGACTTATATTGTCAATTTTTAGTTCCTTATAGTGCCCATTGGGGTAGTTATTCCTTTATTAAGCAAAATATTTCTGAAACTATTATTCTAAATAAATATACCATCAACCAAGATCACTTCTATTACATTTTATGCCTCCTCTTATAATTGATTGTCAGAAAAAATCAGAACCCTTGAGGCCAGTTTGACGTCATTAAAAATAGGTTCATCACAAGCACAGCAACACAGGAAAATTTTAGAAGAGCTGCTTAAGGCTAAAACAAAAGAAATGCTTACAGTTAAGGCTCAATTTGGTGAGTATCATTTATGGTAATTCGAAATTAATAGAGGATATTTGTTTAGTTCAGTGTAAGATCGGAATATATTTCACCGAGTGAGCACCAAAAGGTATATTTCACGAGTGGCGCAGCCACGAGTGAAATATGAACTTTTGGTGTTCACAAGGTGAAATATATTTCGATCTTACACTAAACTAAACAAATTTTCTTTTTATTATATGCAAAGAAACGTTTTAAAAAGACATTAAAACTAATACTGAATGAAAAGCGCGCCAAATAATAATATTACGTGACGTCATTTACGACGTCACATCATTAAGTTGGTGCCCAGTACTGTGCACGCTGGTATTTCACTGAAACAACGTAAGGGGCTTAAATTCAAAAGAGTGAAATTATCAAAGTGGTAATTCACTGTTTCAAACAGTGAAATTACCAGTTTTATTTCACTGATATATTTCTATAAACCACCGAAAAGCATGTAATAAATATTTTTATTGTACGCTGCATATCCTTTTCATATAAAGCAAGGTAACTTCGGATTAAATCATATATTTTAACATGTAATTTTCGTAAAATCTAATGCATTTTTCTTTTTTATAGAATTGTATGTTTATATGTTTGCAGATGGAGTTAACAAAGAAAACTTACACCTGAAGTTGCAACTTCAAAGTACAAAAGGTATTTATTGATAAACAAGCAATTAAATGTGTGAATCATCATGAAAAAATTACAATGTTTGATGAATAATTTAATCAGTCAATTCAGTACAATTAAATTGTAGTTACACACGTACTTTATATTAAATATATTACATCTTAAATGTAAAGAAACATATTGTCGTGTTTTAAGGAAAATGCGAATGTTTATGTTCAATAGATATTTTATCGTAACCCAAACAATAGACAATAATTAAGGTTATAATTTATAGATGATTTGAAATCACAAAAGGAACAGTTAGAGAAGAGTGAAACTACCACAACACAATTAAAAGAGCTTCTAGATAAAATGTTTCAGCAGAAACAATTATCGGATGGTGAGTTCCCTATGCCTTTCTGATTATACCCCACTTCAAAAACCAAAGAACTTCAAACTTGGTATGATGATTGTTGATGACCAGTTGATGAACTCTACTGTTTTGGGGTCAATATACTAAAGGTTAAGGTCACATTGACCTTGTTAGGTAAAAAATGGTTCCTGATCATTACCTTATATGCCAAAAACAGCTTCCTGTCAATAACAACCCATGAACCCTTGACATTCAAACTTCACAAATGCATTGCCCCTTTGGTCAAATGATGACCTGAATGGAATTTTTGGGGTCAAGGGTCATAGGTCATATCTCATTGCTTTTATAGGTAAAAAACGATTCTGATTCAATATCTCAAAAACCATGGGGCCATTATCTTCACACTTCACAGCTGCATTGGTCTTGGCCAGAAGCTAACCCCTATTTGATTTCAAAGTCTTATTGATCTTGTACTCCGACCAATAACTCAACAACTCAAGTTGCCTTGTTGATATTTTTTATGCTTTTTGATACACACATTTCATGGTCTTAATGTAATATAACAAAATTGGCTGTCATTTAAGGAAACCCTACATGATTCAAAACACGATATAACAGTTTATTTTATTTGGTAAGATTTGTGATAACTTAAAATAAAATTGCTGCACACAGCCTTTATGGTCACAATGACCTAGTGACTTGATCATTGCCCGGTAGATTACCTCTATTGCTTTCTTGGTCACTAGGTCAAAAGTCAGTCATGATAACCTGACCACATGACTTATTGGCTGTCGTTAGGGGCATTGTTAAAGGAGCAATTTGACTTCGGAGCACAATTTAAGGCCGATGCGGTGGCATTTGGTGACAGATGTGCTCTGATCAAGTTCTAAAATGTACAAGAAAGCACATTTGTCTCATATACTTTAAGGGACAAGAAAGCACATTTGTCTCGTGTCAGTTTAAATGAATTACTCGTTATATATATTCCCACGGCAGAAATGTTTTCGCCGTTTAACCTCATGTCAAGTCGAATCATCAAGAAGTTTGCGAATTCTTTTTTATGAAATCTTAACCCTAAAACCTAAAGTGGAACCATTGATTCTGATACATGTTACGCATGGTGGCTGATTTGCTACGTATTTGTGCGTCGCGTTGTCGTTGGTGACAACACGACAAAACGGCCAAGCGGCGCATCGTCGCACTGTCGTCTTGTCGTCCTGTCGCTAATGATGCACAACAAACGGTGTGTTGTCGTGCGGCGTGTTGGCGTTGATATCACATTGGTCGCTTTCGGTTCAAATCGAAGGATAAGCTTACAAAGCCAAAGCGACAGGGGACATCATCAGCAACGTAACCCAAAGGACATCGCCCGCACGTTTGGCATGCTTCTAAGAGACAAGACGACAGTGCGAACAACGGCGACGTTTGGCGCCCTTTGTCTTGTTGTCGCTAGGGGCGATAACCCGGTATAGGTTTATGTTTGTCGCTAAAAAATGGTGAGGCCGTTAGACCGAAGTCAAAATTTTTTGCAGAAACATCCCAAGGTGTTCGCCCAGCCCAGTGTTATATCCCCGTCAACCTAACTGAGTTTCATATACTACAGTGTATAACTGTTTTATCGAAAGGCATAATGTTTTCTTTTTTGTAAAATAAATAAATAAATAAATATATAAATAAATAAATCGTTAGCTACATTACAGTTTTTTATGATAAGGCAGTTTTTTCAAGTTGTTTTTGCTGCCGCAAAAAAAAGATATACAATAGACATCCAGTGTTAGAGGCGAATTTTAAAACTGTTACCAATATTGATTAAAGATTGAAGGGCTTTTTTTCAGGGGAAAAAATTCATTCAGCGGATGTACCTTTTGATTAAAATGAGAGTAAATTTCATTTCATTAATTATCTTTGTTTACATTTTTCATTGTATTTATTTATTTCTTCATGTTGATTTTTTCTTACATGAATCAATAAATAAACTGTACTGTTTTGGTTTCACTTATGAGATTTTTATCGATATTCTGAGCGGTATTTGTGATTATAAGTTAAGAATCGCTGTACTCCTGGACTTGCTGCCGTATTGGACTTGCTGCATAGGTTATTGGACTTGGGCTTGCTCCTTCTTGGAAACTTGCTGCACTATTGGACCTTGCTGCACACTATTTTGGAAACTTGCTGCACTATTGGACTAGCTACGCTTCTTAAAGACTTGCTTGCAGTATTGGACTTGCCTGTACTAATTTGGACTTGCTACAGCTAATGGAGCTTGTTGCCACTATTGGACTTGCCTGCACTATTAGACTTGCTGCCACTTCTTGGACTTGCTTCACTTTTAAAGACTTTCTGCGCTTCCCTTGGAAACTTGCTGCGCTTCTTAGACTTGCCTGCGCTTTTTTTAGACTGGCCTGCGCTTTCTTAGAACTTGCCTGCGCTCCTTTTGGGACTTGCTTGCGCTTCTAAGACTTTTTTGCGCTCCTGGACTTGCTTTTTTCTGGGAAGCGGACCGTCTTTAGACTTGCTCTTTTAATGGGAAGCGGACCTTTCATAAGTCTTGCTTCTTTACTGGGGAAGTGCGGACCGTTCTTAGACTTGCTTTTTTACTTGGGAAGCCGGACCGTTCTTAGACTTGCTTCTTTACTGGGAAGCGGACCGTTGCTAACTCAAACTTCTTCACTAGAAAAGCCGACCGTTTTTCTAGACTTGGGCTTGCTTTTTCGGTTCCCCCTCACTGGACCTGCCCACCAAACAAGGAGGACTTGCTAAAATTAAGCTTTTCGAGCCAATATGGTATAAAGCTTCTTTCGAAATCAAATTTTTTTTTCTTTTTTTTTATTTCCAAATTTCATTTCATATAAATACACAAAACGCGCGAACCCGGATAGAAACGGCCACAATTGTGACGTTCACGTTCAAAAACAATAATAATACAAAAATGGCGGAAACATTTGTGTTTCTTTTTTCAATAAATAAAATGGCTATTTTGACAAACAGCCCTCTTTCAAAAGAAATATTAAATATTTCCATCAAATTCAAAATAACATTCTTTTTTATTCATCTGTTTCTTGATACTGTCTGCTTAGGTAGTCTACAAAGATATTGTCGGATCATTTTGATGGCTTCCCCAATACCGGAACTGGTATGATTGAAGAATAAGGCCCACCTCACTAATCGAACCCCGTTGGGTCTGGTGTATTTTTTCTGGATGTACGACAATGAACTGTGGTCCGTTTTGTATGATGAACTCTTTCCCATACAAGTATATTTTGGAACTTCTTTTTAATTCCATATACGATTGCTAGGACACTCTCTTTCTCCTACAGAATTTAGTTCCTTTTGCAACGATCAAAGTAGCTTCTTGCTTGCAAAAGGCAATAGGAAACAACTCTCCCTCATATCTCTGAAAGCAATGCGAACCTAATCCCAGCATTTCGAGGCAATCACACTGTAAAATGAAACTCTTTCTGAAAAAATTCAGGCAGTCGAAGAATTGGACTCTTGGTAAGTTGCTCCTTTAAAGTATTAAAAAAGCTCTTTCTTGCTCATCTCCCAATTTCGTACATTGTTTGGTAAGGCCTTTTCTTCGTTAAGTCTGTAAGAGGTGCCGCAATCTCAGCAAACGATGGTATAAATCTCCCTGTAATATCCGGCAAGTCCTAAGAAATGCTCTAACTTGTCTTTTTAGTCTTTGGCACTTCCGCTTCTTCTTTGATTCTTGTTCAAGTTTTTCCCCTTTCCATTTTGAACTATGCCATTCCCCACCATATGTTCCTGTAAAACCAATGTTGTTATATATCCTTATAACACTTCGATGGCTTTATGGTAAGCTCTGCTTCTGCCAACTTTTGGAGGCAGCTCCCGCCAGCATTGTTCCCATATGTTTCTGTCCAGGTTGTTGTATGCCCTATCATATCGTCAAACATAATTGTCAACAAAATCCAAACCCCTGCCAAAATTAACTTCCGCAAATCATTCTGTTGAATGTGGCTCCAAAGAGTTAACCATACCGAAAGGCATTTTCGCTTGAAATTGATAAACTCCCTCTATCCGTTGAAATGCTGTAAATCTGCGGCAAATTTTCAGCAACTGGGATTTTGCCAATTTAACCTTTGCATAAGTCGATCTTGGTAAAAAAACTTAGCATCTTTCAGCTTTGCCATGATGTTCACTACGGCTTGCCTATTGGTTTTCGGTGGTCAAATTTTGGTGACCGGGCATTCAGTCTTCTAAAATCAAATAACAAAAAACGATTACTTACTTCCATCTTTAATTCTTGACAATGAAACTATCCGGTGCGTTGTAATTCCGACACAGATGGTTCTATCACATCAGCCTTTATCATTATCTTTGTATTTCATTTCAACAGCTTGTCTCTTGGCTATATTGGTATTTGGGTACTGGTTTCCCCACTCTCACAGGCGTCTGTCTGTTAATTCAACATGGTGCTCTATCAGTGGAGTTGTTCCTGGTCGCTCTGAAAACACTTCGCTAAATTCTTGAAGTATTGAAAGGACTTGCTTCCTCTGTTCCCAGGAGTAAAGTCCCCTCACTGATATTGACATCTTGGTTATTGTCTCTCCACTTGTGTAGTTAGGGAAAAGTCCAGGAGACCTTTTCGTCCGTCCACCGCTACATCTGAATTATCATCAACGTCTTCTATGATCGCTTACAAACTTTGCTGCAATCTTATCTTGGCGCTCTTTCATAATTTCTTCAGGAAAATTAATGTGGAACGGTTCTTCAGCTTGTCTCCAATCTTGATTCTGTAATCAAATTTATTCATTACTTCGAGCAAACTTGAAAAGGTCCTTTCCAAATTGCAGCATCATTCTTATTATTATCCGTGGGAAGAAGCAGTAAACACCTTTTATCCTCCTACTCGCAAAAACTCTATTTCGGGCTCTTCTTGTTCGTACAGTGATGCTTGTATGTATTCTTTGCTTTCATCAGGCTTTCTCTGGGCTATCTTGCATGATCTCCTCTAGCGCTGCTTCAGGTATGAGCCACATACAGGTATGTATTCTGTATGCTCT